ATGCTGACACCATGGGCCTAGCCAGTGCGCTTATCAGAGGCATTAACCCCCCTGGACGTCCGCCATTTTGAATATTTTCAGGGGGGTGAATGCCTCTCAAACGTGCACTGGCTAGGACCATGGCGTCAGCATTTCGATGACGAATTACGGTTATATACGCCAAAATCATTGGAAAATCATAGGAGAAACCAAGAAATCGGGCTTCTGTGTAGTCTATTCTGTGATCATGATGGCTTCACATTTTGGACTCAAGTTCTCACTCCAGATATATATATGGAGCTCATGGTAGAAAACATGGCTCATTGTCACATAATGTGCTGCATGTCCCAGCAAAAATTACCTCATGTGTAACATGAATTTATTGGGTTGTTGGTTTGAAAATGAATGGCAGAAGCTACTGAATATGTAAATTTTTGCAGTTAACTACTAAAAGAATTACACTTGCTATTATCCATGCACAGTAAGGTTACCTACAGTACCTAAAAGCTGGTCTCTTGCCAAGCAATTGATAAACAGCCCAGCCAAGGCAAACAAAACCTGGTTATAGCCAAGTCTTCCTGCCATGGTGTTTCAGTGAACTATCCCCTTAAGGATTAGTGTCAGGGTCATCCATTCCGGGCTTTTGTTATTGTTTACGTTTTGCTCAAATACAACAAATAGCGATAAAAATACCTTGTTTGGTTCATTTCGGATAAAAATTGGACAAAAAGAACAAGGATTATTAAAGGATGGTTTAAATATTTCCAGATCATCTAATCTATTCGTCCCGAAAAATTGCCGTAGGCAGGAGTCTGAGCCCGCGAATTCTTGGTGTGACACTAATCCTTTAAAGCCAATTTACACCGGCTACACAACTTTTGCCTAAAACTGTCGCATTCAACCTGCTAAAAACATGAGTTGAACTACGACATTATGTATGCGAGTTGTTTGCTTGATTTACACAGTACAACTCAAATTATAAGCAGGCTGCATGTGACAGTTTTAAGGCGGATTTCCAGTCCTCGCACGAAGCTCCTCGCAGCTCGCCGCGAGTGCTTGCATCTAATTAAAATTAACTGTTTAGCATTGTGATTGGATGAAAGTGCTCATGCATCACTCGCAGCGAGCTGCGAGGAGCTTCGTGCGAGGACTGGAAATCCGCCTTTAGGCAAAAGATGTGTAGTGTAAATCGGCCTTTAACCCTTTAAGTGGCAATGTTCCCAGATGCGCCCTACTTTGTTATTTTACATGTTTTCTCTGTCCAACACCAGATGACTTTACTTGTCAGGGGGAGAGTGTTGCCACTCAATGGGTTTAAAGATCAATCAAATCTGTTAAAGTATAAGGCAATTCAGAGTTTCCACTGCACATCTAAACGACGCGTTCTTAGTAGCGTATAGCTAGCCCGACGATTTAGTCCCGCTACGCAAATATTTTCGTGTTCATTGACTGCGAAAACAATCTATTTCTAAAGAAATGAATAATGATAATAAGATTGATTTTGCATAGCGGGACTAAATTGTCAGGCTGGCTACGCCACTGCCACCCTGGTTCCAGAGGTTTAAAATAAACCTCTGGTTGAAAGCGGCAATTGATTCATCGAGCCACGCCAATCAGTTTGAATTAGGGTCAGATCCTGACTCTGTCTCCTGAATATTGGTTATAGATGTTTTATATGAATCAATCTGAGAGCTTTAATACAATCATCCAATCAGGAGACAGAGTCAGGATCTGACCTTAATTCAAACTGATTGGCGCGCCTCGATGAATCAATTGCCGCTTTCAACCAGAGGTTTATTTTCCCTCTCCCCTTCGCAATGAAAATAATAAAAATAAACCTCTGGAACCAGGGTACGCCACTGCGCGAAATCAAATATTCGGAACCACTTATTTTAGCTATTTGGCCTGCATATCTTCTAAAACTTTTATGCGTTGACGGTTTTATTTGTTTTTGAAAAATGAAATTTCGCGTCGCGTTGCCGAATCGCGTCCGGTCGGTGTGGGCCTCTAGGATAAATTACAGTTGAGCTATATTTAACATGGAGCTGAGACTGCAAGAATATGCATATCAAAATATTCAACTATTCAATCATCATTTCAAGATGCAAAAAGTTGCTCGAAACGAAATTAATTCTGCATGGTTGACTTACTTCAATTAGAACATAAAATCCCTTAAGTATAACTTTCTCTATTTTGCTTTACAAAGAAGACCAAATAAACAGCCTGAGTACAAAAATGATTTAACCACAGTTCTATTGTGGCTATGAATTAAAAAACACAATTATTATTTTTTTAAAAAATTCCTGGTTTCTGATTGGCTAACAGCCATCTGTGAAATTGTCATATCAACTCAACTCAACTCAACTCAACTCAATGGCTAACCAAATATGGATTTTTGACATTCATAATAGCGAAATGACGTCAAAGAATCAATATGAAAAACATTTGGATGCGTTTGCGCCATATTACTATGACGACGAGAATCATATTGACTCGCTGACGCCATTAGACAGTTTTAGATAACAAGACGCGGACGTCAAGAGGACGTGGATGTCGTCATTTGGCGCCAACTATCGTCAGTCTGGTTTGCGACGTCGTCTTGGACGATTTCACGACGCGAAAATACAATTTTCACGTCCTCTCTAGAACGTCACAGATTTTTGCTTCTTTTGAAAAAAATATGAGACTATGCATAATAAAAATATCCTATTTTATTCCCCATGTATTGTTTAATGATACTAGCTAAAGTTTTTCCATTGACAAGGTTGTTTTTCTTGTATTTCGCTAAATTTTGGACGAGTTGATTTTCGACAAATACTTTCGGTCGCCAAAAACAAATCAACAAAAGTCAAAACTGCAAGCATTGTTAATAACCAATTTAATACTGCCGAGTAATCTTCACCAAACAAATATTCTAGAACAAACTAAACTGAAGTTATATTAACAACTGTTTCGGTAAAATCAGGAAAACGTGGGAAAATAGAAAAATAAAAGCACTTAAAAGCAGTAAAAACTCAATCAATTTTAGTTGCTCTGTCACAACAGTGCAAAAAGTAGGACAAGCGAAAAAACGCTTTCCAGCGTGAAAAACTATCGTAAACAGTATTAAATTTTACCAATATAAACACTGATGCTATATTTATACTGAACAGTTGACAAACTTGACTGAATAGGCTACAAACTAAAGCATTTTGCTCGTAAACAATACCTGCAGCTATTGTATTTATTCCAAATGATGCAACAAAGTTCACTTTTCAAAATACCGAAATATACGTTTTTTCCTAAAAAAAACTTACAGTATTGAATGTTCATACTAATTCATCAGGAAACACTTGGCCAGTATTATAGCCTTTTCTTGCACATATCTTGACAAATGATTGAAGACAATACATGAATGAACAGGTAACAAGAAAACAAAAATTTGCTTCGAGAAAGAGAAACAAGCCGTCCCAGATTAAAACCCGGACACAGAGTAGAGACATACAGAGACGTAACTGACAGTCGTAAACACTGCGGAAGATTACGTTATCATGTACCCACTTTTTTTCAGGCGACCGGGCGAAAAATGTTCAACTGCGCGTGCTCAGCAAGTTTAAATTGAGTCGTCATCAGGTCGTCATCCAATCAGATGCATGCATCTAGTAACTTGCCGAGCATGCGCACAAAAAAGTGGGTACACTACTTACGTCTCTGTATGTCTCTACTCTGTGACCCGGAAGTGAACGCGAGGTGCACACGTCATATTCACGTCCTCTTGACGTCCGCGTCTTGTTATCTAAAACCGTCTATTATGACGACGACAACGGCTGCCGAAGGACTAGGGAATTGTTTTCTTCTTGATACAAATAAAATACAAATGGCTTCCGATTGTTTTAAATTTATTAAATAAATAATAAAACAATTACTGAATTCGGTTTTCGCACAATATGAAGAATTCGGCTTCGGTTGATAACGGCAAACTTCGGGCTTGATAATTCTTCATATCGTGCTCAACCTCATTCAATAATAATGTTAAATAATGACTGAACAGCTGAATACATATTTCTAATCTGATATGCATACTCTTTCAGTCTCAGCCACATGTTATAATTCAACTGCAACTTATCCCAACACAGAGTGTGTCATTACACTAATGCACAGTGGAAACACAGAATTGGCTTGTTGAATTACAACCCTCAATAAGTTAGCATTGCATTAAACTGCCTTGTTCCTTCTGGGAAAACTGATTAAGCATAATAGGCAAATAAATTCCTTCTAATGTATTTTGTCTTTTGAAGCGAGTCAAGTATTCCCATATTGTGTCTGTGGAAGCGAAACCTCTTGCTTCACATAACTAAGAAAAAGGCAACAAGAAAACCAACATTTCGATTTCCATACAACCAATGGCAATACTTCGCTTCCATTCCACAATACATATGTTTCGAATCTTGAGGTAGAAAAAGCAAAACATACCTCACTTCTTAAGACCAAATGGGCAACATGAATGGGGAATGTTTTGCACCAGTTGGAACCACAATACATATGCTTGTATTATTCAAGAGATTAATACCAAATAGGCAACTGGCAACACAAAGTGAAACACTTTGCTTCCATACACACAATATATACATTTCTATTATTATTATTATCATTATTATTATTATTATTATTATTATTATTGTCCAACTCTGATTGCTCCTTCTGCTTAAACCCTGAAACCCTTTTACACGAAGTTGCTGGATGTGAAACGTATCTCCCACGATTTACATGGAGACATGATTCTGTTCTGTACTTCATAGCACAAACGCTACAACCTGTAAACAACTCCAATCTTTTCGTCGTCTTCCTGGTTATAAAAGCCCATCAATTGTATCCATCAATCGTTCCGTTTTAATTTGAGGTAAAATAAAGTTATGTTCCCTTTGTCTTAAAATCCTTTGTTTACACACAGGAACTGAAGCAATTCATGTAGGGCATGTTCTGGATTCGATACGATTTTGCTAAATAATTTTCTGTCTCTCTCCTCGATCACTTCAAATATCTTAATACTCTTTGTCGTATATCCATAACGATAAGCTCGCCGGAAAAAACTTGTCTATACGATCCAAATATTTCTTTTGGAGTGCAGAGCCCCACACTTCAATGCAATAGTAAAAGAGTGACATGATTAGCGAACCGAATAATTTGCTTAGCTGATCTGCAGAGTAACCATAGCATCTACACACTCTCAATATGTACATACGCTCACTAGCCTTCGACAGAAGATCATCGATATGAAGATCCCAGCAACATGGATTTTCCTGAAATGTGACACCTAATAATTTCAACCAGCTCTTTCGTTCAATGCCTACAATCGGTGCCGGTAACGGTTTCATAGACCCACCGTGCACAACCATTTCCCACGTTTTAGAAAGATTTAATGTCATTTGATTTGCTTCCGACCAATTCTGAACGCTTTCCACCTCAGCCTCAGCAGAATCCGATCCTGATTTTACTGGAGCACTTGTCGTTATATCATCAACAAATTTAAGGTGAAAGAACAGAATTATCTTTATCTGAGTCATCAGAATTATCTGAGGTGAAAGAACAGAATTATCTTGCTTCTTAAGACCACAGGCAACACAAAGCTGGGTTTTAGTCTTTAGAAGATACAGACACTGAACTCTTAAAACTGGGGTATTCTGTTAAATTTTTACCTATAACTAATATATTTTTTATGTCACATTTTGGCATGCAGGTACAAATAGTGGTAATTAAGCTACTGATTCACAGTAAAATTTAAACATTTGATTATAACATGATAAGATAGTGAGGTAACACCAACCTAACTACTTTTGAATTTCTTCGGGAACCATAGGAAGGAGGAACATACAATGTCTATCATGTAACAGTCTATATGTTAGACAAACTACCAACACAAAGACATTTTATATTTTGGATTATTAAGGATTGCTTCATAATACATGTGACTCATGTTACGTCACTCATGTTACATATAAAATACAGCTTCATATTTCAGTTCAGAATTGTTTCCAATAGCTTCCGAAAATTATTGGTAACTTATTTTTTTAAACATTGTCATCACTACTATGGAATTACCCACAAGCGTAATATTTGATAACTAATTATTAAAGCAAATTTGTTCATATCCACATGTAACTTTACGCCATAGAAATCTTAATAAGTCCATTCATTGGTTGTGTAAGGAATACGTTTTGCTTCTTGTTGCCTATTGGTCATTAGAAGCAAGATATTCCACAATATAGGAACACGTGACTCGCTTCAAAAATCACAATATATTAGAAGGGCTTTATTTGCACATTATGCCAATTGCTGATAACGCCAGTTATATTTATGATACACAAATTCATGCATTGTACTATCCCCGGAGTAGAATACAGAGATAGCTTATAAGGGGTTGTATTGGATACCTCTGGTGTAAAATACTCTTGACACCAGTCGCATAAATCTTACCGCGAACAAAATGAATCGACAATTTTGATGTCTCTTTGTAGTATTGTGCAGATATTTGATAAGACTGATATTTGAAATAAATGTATCAACTGCAGCCAATTTATAATCCAACTTGCATAAACTTTAATGCTTCAGAGCTTCTTGTCTGTCATATGGCATACTGTCATAAGCAGTCCGTGGCTTGTTGGCATAACTCCCAGGCCCCAACATAAAAATTGACGGATTTTAACCTGGATTGATCCTATTTTGCTGTAAAAATTGAATACAGTTTAGTACAACATCAACTATAAACTGCATTCATACCTACTCATATTTCAAATACATGCTGAATACCCCATGACTAGCACTGACAAATGTAAACATCCACAGTTATACTAACCAGTATCTCTCTGTTCTATTATTATTATTTATTATTATTATTATTATTAAAACTTTATTTATACAAGATAAAAACCTTATTCAGTATAACTAAATACTGCTATCACTAAGGGTCCTGTAACTAATACTAAGTTTATAAATCTATAGATAAAAATATGCTAATATGTTATATATATACAATACTAAACACACAATGATACTTAATATATAAAAACTGTTCATTTGCTTAAGAACACTTTTAAAATGTTCAATGGAGTTTATCTGTCGAACATGTGAAGGCAGTTTATTAAAAGCCATAGCTCCTTGGAAATAAAAGCCTTTCCTGGCAACTTCCAATTTGACTTCGGTAGTCGCAGACAATAATCGTTATTACGAGTATTTTGTTAATGACGTATAATTTGAAAATAGTCATTAAATGGTTCACATGATAGACCATTTAAAGATTTAAAAACCACCATAACCGCGTCAAAAATGCGTGTCGAGTAAAAGTCACGTATATTTAAATCATCGTTTTCAATACTTCAATGCTATGTTTGTGTGTAAAATCAATATCCTATAGCTTCTCCAAAATTTACAAATCAAGTACGCCTTCGTCTTTTGGACATTCAGCATCATAATGTACCGCAGGTGCTTGTGAATGGGCAGGTCTGAAATTCCTATATCTGATCACAGGGATAATGCCCGTTATCATCCATGTTAACCCCGCTCCGATGAAGCCATAGCCGACGATAGATACTGGCGCAGAATGCAGCAGAAAGCGAAACACCGAAGCCCAAATTACACCAGCAAGTAGAATAAGGAAACCAAATACAACAAACTGGTAGCCACGTCGTCGAAAGTACTCTCCAAATTCCCGGCCTGTATTACAATCGGCATCATCGATGAACAGCCTATGCTTGCCAACGACACCAGTTAGGGATAACGCATTGTAGACTAAGTGGAACTCGTGGCCGTGATCTTGCCAACGATAAGAGCCTCCTTTACAACAAAGCGGGCTGCAAGGATTGTCTGTTAAGTCGTTTTCTCGCTCCTCGTTGTCAACAAATAGTTTATACTTGTCTTCGCAACAGTTTACGTCTCGTTTGAGTTGAACTACATACTGTTTGCAACCTTCGTCTTCGGTTGAAATATTTGTCGCCCATGTACTTGTTATCTGACAGAAAGGCATTTGTACGTTGAAATTCAGCCCTTTTCGTCCAAAATAATACTTCAGCTGGCTTATCGATTCATAAAATACTCAATAGCTTTTCAGACGAGAAAATTTCAGTAATACTGTTACAGTTTTATTAATAATTAAAATACTCATTAAAAATACATAGACCTTGTGGCGAATCATGACAGCCATAATATGTCACGTGGAATGACTTTATATCTGACAAAACTCATCTTCATTAGTATTCTTTGTAATTGTTTATTCTAATTAGTACTCTTTTGTAGTCGTATTTTAAGCTATTCAAAACACTCGAACTCGCGTTTTATCATATCTAAAACGCTCGGCTGCGCCTCGCGTTTTAAATATGATAAAACACACATTCTCGTGTTTTAAATACTACTTAATCAGACTAAAGATTTTCGTTTTGTCGCGTTGCGTCCTTTCGCCCGCGGGGGTTCTCGATGATAATTTGTCACTTTGATTGTCAGTTCGAAAATTACGCGCGTGTCATGTTACAAATTATATGCAGTAAGGTTCTTAGAATTATTAGAGTAAAACATGAAGTAACACTGAAGTAGTGAAGTTGCCGATAATTTCAGGAATAAAGTATAAAACAAAAACCTAAAACATCTTGCAACGTAAGATATGGCCTAAAACAAGAGTAAATTTAAATGGTAAATTAAATTAGACGTAAATTTAAATTTACGTCTTGTTTTTGCCCGTATCTTCAGTTTTCAAGATGTTCTCATGCAACACAGATGTTTTCAAAAAATTTTCAACACATGTTAATTAATATCAAAGTTTTATAGTTGATTTTCGAAAAATGGCTTGCATTAACGGGGAGGGTACTCATGAAATTTTTCATTCTAGGCGATTTTTTTTCGTTTTTAAATGAGGCTTAGACATTGGAAAACCATCCTGAAGTTGAGTTAGGTCATTATTTTTGTTTGTTTCCTTTGGATAAGGTGTGTTGTCTACCTTTTGATGTGGTTACCATGGGAACGTGTTTGTCATTTTTTGTTTTGTTGCCTTTTTCTCCCTGATAAACGCAAATTTATGCACGTCATCTACATTTCTGACTACATGAAGTTCTTCACAAGGCGTAGATGCCAACAATGCATCATGGACAGGCGTGCATTTTTTGCTGTCAGCCATTATAAACGAAAATTCCACAAGACAAGACTTCATACTTTAGAATTGCAATTCATCCAATTCCGTGTTTCTTCGTTTCTCTCTTGTTCGATTATGGCTGGGCAAAAGGTTAAAAAACACTTGCAGGAAAACGAGAAAGGCAAACCTTTTCTCTGGAAAGCAGATGTATAAAAATAATTCAACGAAGAACACAATTGAGGGTGAGAAGTCTGCTGATGATTTTGACCTCGATTTTGACTCAAGCAAGCACATCACAGGAACATGTGTCGACCTCAAACCCACCTTCTAGCGCATCAAGAAGGAAGTTAAATCGGTGTGAATCTCTTCAAGAATGCTTTTGAAAATGAAGAATATACTGACCAAGGATATCATACAACCTCATTCCCAGGGCTTTCTTATAAGGACGAGGGGAGAGTCGAGAAAGCCCTGGTCCGGTCCGGTCAATTTTGCATTCTGATTGGCTAACATTGTCTAAAATTGGCTAATATTGTCTAAAAATAACTGAACTTGACAGTTGACAATAACAATTCAACATATGTATTTTTATGATTCTTGTGTGTACGTTACGAGTATGTTTTGCAAAATAATCTTTCAAAGTAAGAAGTTTTCCCGACTGCATGATTTACTTTCGCCTCGGCCGGTTACATAACTCAAGAGCCGTGTCGACGTGAGCTGAGACGTGAGCCTGACAAAACAAGAAACGTCTACTATTATTTAAGCTGTAGTTTTCCTTGTACAGTATATACCGGGTGGCGCAAAAAAAAGTACAACTGTTTGATTACTTGGAACTCAGAAACAATAAGCAGTAGAACCATAAATCGAGTTTAATTGCATCCAGCGATATCTAACTTAAATTTTGGTATATTTGACAGGCATATTCGTCCAAGATTAACTGAGATATAAGAGTTTAAACTTTTGTTAACAATTTTGAAACGGTCACAAATTAGCTAAAAATCAGTTTAATAGGCCGTTTTTAGCTAATTTGTGACCGTTTCAAATTTGCTAACAAAAGTTTAAACACTCATATCTCAGTCAATCTTGGACGAAAATGCCTGTCGAGTATACCAAAATTTAAGTTAGACATCGCTGGATGCAATGAAACTCGATTTTGGGTTCTACTGCTTATGGTCTTTGAGCTATATGTAATCAAACAGTTATACTTTTTTTTGCGCCACCCGGTATAATGTAGTGCAGATGTCTGATGAAATACTACGCGTATTGCATTGTAGTAATATTTTAATTTACAATATTCTATACTGACAAATAAAAGCAAGACAAACAATTAAATGAACTATAAATTAATTTAGGCCCAGTTTACTTAATAGCTCTACGCCTAGGCCGATGGCGATGTAGTCTCTACAACATTCGTCACGCCACCGAGTTGTACAGTTTCAGAATACCCCGAATACTTGAAAATTGCGATTATACGATAAAATAAAACAAAGATTGTGAAAGGGATGAAATTTGTAGGCAAGCATTGCTCCTGAACGGCAAGTGGTGGTCTCCGGCGAAACAAGCGAATCTGTATATTCCTGCACAGCGTAAACATGTTACGCGAGATTTTATATTTGTGTTTATTTATATCGAACTAAGTCAGATCTATAAGAGCATATTTAAACTAAATATTAAAAAGCAACGCCGTCATCCTCTAGAGGATGACGGCTTTGCGTGTCCATATCTTCGGTTCATTGCATACGATTGAAACAAAAATACCACTGTTATGCACCTATCAATATTAATCCCAGGGGGTAAGGGTGCGGGCAATCTGTGGGGATTTGATCGTGAATTCTATCCCCACAGACGGGCATTTGACAAAGATTTTTGCCCGAGTGCGGGCGATTTGCCATTCGATCATAATTCAACATGTGATTTCAGGACAAAGCCTGGAGCCTAGAATCGAGAAAACCGGAAGTCCGGAACTTTTTATTTTTTATTTCCGGTCCGCTTAAGTCTTCTGGCCTTTTGGAATTTGAATACAGTACATAGTCTGGATTCTGGGGATAAAATCTACGATGCCCAGACGCTTTTTGTGGCTCTTTATATTAAATGTTAAAAAATTTTGCCTTGATCTATCGCCTAGGTGCATCTGTTTTGAAACATTTGATTATCTTAGAATGCCCCACCAGCGGGCATTTGACCCAATTTTTTAATTTTTTGTCAAATCCCCACCCATTGCCCGCACCCTTACCCCCCGGGATTAATATTGTGCATAAATAGATGGATTAAAAGTGCATAAATAGATGCACTGTTTCACAATCTCATGTCAATTCCTAATTTTTGTTTGTCTACGATGCAACCATAGATTATAGATCATATCAGATGTCTCACTGTGTATCTATCCCTATGATTTTCGTGTCCGCGATTTTCGTGAGGCTATCACGCCAGATGACGCGTGCGACACTTACTGCCAAAATTGCGCTTACTGCCAAAATGCGTGATTGCTCACGTTTCATGGCGTGGATTACACTTACTGCCAAAATGGCGGCCAACGCGTGCTCATAAAAAATCGCGGACACAATTTTGGCTGAGTGAGACATCTGGTATGATCTATAATCTATGATGCAACCATTGAACTATAAATAAACTGGAAGGCTAACTGCTATGATGAAGGCCTATGATTTGATGAAGCCAAAATAGTTTTTCTGAGTTATGAGCAGAAATACTTGACCCCAAACGTCGGCTTATATATCAAATTGAAGCTATTGAAAATTGCTATTCGGTGTGGAAATTTCAAGACTTCAGCGAAAAGAAAAATCTTTAAAAAATACAAAAACAACTGCAAAACGGCAAATTATCGGTAATTATGTTTGTAGTTTTTCAATATTTCCCTTTTAGCTAAAGTCTTGAAATTTCTACACCAAATAGAGTTTTTCAATAGCTTTAATTTGATATATAGCCCAACGTTCAGTGTTGAGTATTTCTGCTCATAACTCAGAAAAACTAAAATGCACTGGCTTCAATTCCCCCCCCCCTGAGTTAGCCTTCCAGTTTATTTATAGTTCAATGGATGCAACGCAAGCGATTTATAATTTTTTAAAACCTTAAGATACGTGATTTCAAAAAACCTACCGGATGTTCAACACAACAAACATATCCTGAACTTTGTTGGACTATATCTTCGCTCAAATGAAAGCTATCGATACAGAAATATCGCAATATGTTTATGCCTTGAATTTCGTAAGATTACGACTAAACAACAAATTTTATGGGCATTTTCGGAAATGCACGTGCGTTCGTGACGCATCGTAATCCGCTGGCAAACTTCGGAGCCTATAATCTCCGGGATTGTTTCACCCCACGGTCTTAAAACCCTCGGCAATCGATTCCCCATGATGTAATCCCCCAGTATCGTGAATTTCATTGGTTTATGGCAACATCCGAGCCTTATATGGCATTTTTTAGATTGTAAGTGATGCGCGCACCAACGGCTTGCTGCCGTCACAGAGTAGAGACATATGTATTAGTGAGCTTAAGCAAGTGACGTTTTTGACAACACGAACGGCATGAGTAACGTCAGAAGACTGGGTCAAGGGTTGTGATTGGTGAAAAACGTCAATTTTACTTCCGGTCGACGTCCGTGTTGTCAAAAACGTCACTTGCTTAAGCTCACTATTATCTACTCTGTGCTGCCGTCTTTGATATTTTCAAAAATACAAGATGGCTCTCAACATAGATGAGGTTCTAAACTCATTATATGATGAAACTTATGAAGAAGACTTGGACAGACGTTTGGCGATGTCGGATAGCGATGCAAGGCAAGTATTTACATGTTTTTAGCGAACAGATGTTGTCATGTCATGGTCGAAGGATTAAATTTACATTCGACGCAACCGCGAACTTTGACGCACATTTGCCATAAGAATTTGGTCTATAATCTAAGATCTGATCCGAAATATAACAAATATACAAATAACCGATCTAATAAGGCATTTATTTGAGAGTTCTATCATTTATATTGAGACAAAAATCAAATGTTTGAACCGATATCAAAATTGTGTGAACGCCATGTTGCACACATGGCATAAGTGGGCATTTAAAAATTTAATTTATGCATTTTTGTTTATATGAAGTCACAGGCGGCCCAATCTCGCAAGGGTCAGTATAGACTTATAGTATAAATGTATATTATATTAATGTATATTATAGTAAAAATATGTCGTAAAATATAAATTTTAAAATGAAATTGACTTGCCTATTTGATAGTGTGTGTTCTCCTTTTATTCCTCCTTTGTTGGACTAATATTTTCCGAGACTTTGTACTCGATGTTACTAGTATACATGAAACATGATAAAGGCTAACGATTCCCGATCGTCGATACGACGGCACGGCACTTCGAATCGAAAATTCTCACACTCAAATCGCTTTATTCTCAAAAAAATTCGTCAGTATGTACAACAAATGCCGTTTTTATAAAATACAGAGGTATTTCGGCGAGATGTACAAGTTTTGGACCATATTTTAACAATGAAAATCAAAACCCATTTTATATTGAACTTACCCGGACCGAAAATTACTATGGCGAACGTCTGCGCAACCAGGCCTCCTTTACCGTTGGATTTACAGGGGGGAAGCAGATATTTCCGCTAACAGCCAGCCAATCGCGGCCGCGTAGCGACTGTTTACATTATTTGAAATTTGATATTCAAAATAAAAACTCCTTCGATCGGATACTGTATAAAACTCGAGATGTTGTCGAAGAAAAGAAAATTAAACGACGGAAATTGAAGAAATTTAAGGAAGAAGTAATATACAGCGGCTCTTTGTTGGAAAGTATCGTAGAATATGATACTTTAATTCGAAATATTATCGTGAACATATTAGTGGCATCCTCCCCCCTGTAAATCCAACGGTAAAGGAGGCCTGGTTGCCCAGACGTTCGCCGTAGTAATTTTCGGTTTCGGGTAATGGGTTTTGATTTCCATTGTTAAAATATGGTCCAAAACTCGAAGTGCCGTGCCGTCGTATCGACGATCGGGAATCGTTAGCCTTTATCATGTTTCATGTATACTAGTAACATCGAGTACAGAGTCTCGGAAAACATTAGTCCAACAAAGGAGGAATAAAAGGAGAACACACACTATCAAATAGGCAAGTCAATTTCATTTTAAAATTTATATTTTACGACATATTTTTACTATAATATACATTAATATAATATACATTTATACTATAAGTCTATACTGACCCTTGCGAGATTGGGCCGCCTGTGATGAAGTAAGATAATACCATGTATCAGTATGTTTATAGTATTTTATTTTTCTATAGTGATGGAGAACCTGTTGATGAAGAAGATGATGATTTTGAAGTAGAAGACGAGGATCCGGATTGGGAGGAGGATGGTGATTTAGGGGAGGGTAGTGGTGGAAGGGGCCGATCCCCAATTAGGAGACGGGATGACTCCCCTAATGGTACTTCTGGCGATAGAGGAAGGGGTAGTAGGGCCAGGGGCAGTAGGGCCAGTAGGGCCAGGGGTAGTAGGGCCAGGGGTGGCAGGGGCAGGGGTGGAAGGGCTAGGGATACCGGGGCCAACAATAGTAGTAATAAATCTTACGATGACCCAGACATTAAGAATACCCTCCCTCCCTTTCAACCAAGTCGGCCGCCAGGAATTTATTTTGATAGGCATGTCTTGCGGGGAGGAATGACAACTGAATTAAAATTTTTTCGTCTCTTCTTCACCACCGAGATGATAAAATCAGTTGTTGCCCACACCAACAGCTACGCATACATGAGACTTGTAGCTGGGGGGTTCACTTCATACACCACTGGGGAAGGGGCCTGGCAAACAACTACTGAAGATGAAATAAATCATTTGATAGCCCTTTTGATTTATTCTGGTCTGGTACATATAGACACAGCAGTTGAAAAGTATTGGAGCACGAAGACACTTTACCACGGTCTCTGGGCGAGGAAAATACTTTCCCGTAGGCGTTACAAAGCCATTATGGCATTCTTGCATGTGGTAGACCCCGTCGAAGAGGTTGCTAGCAATAAACTGTGCAAGGTTGAGGAGTTTCTGGCATCTTTCAAAGAGCGATGCCGTATGTTATACCAACCGTACCAGAATATTGCTGTAGATGAACGCATGGTTAAGTCTAAACATAAGTCAGGGATTAGGCAATACATGAAAAATAAGCCTACAAAATGGGGGATAAAGCTCTGGGTATTGGCAGATAGTTCCAATGGGTATACAATTGATTTCAATGTTTACATAGGTAAGTCCCAGCATGAAGCACCGTCGCAGAATGGCCTTGGTTATGATGTGGTTATGAAGTTGGTGAATCCATATTTGGGGCAAGGGTATCATGTATATTTTGATAATTTTTTCTCATCCCCTAAGTTAGTCCAAGATTTGTTCATGAATGGGACCCCATCATCAGGCACATGTAAAACTAACAGGGAGGGCTTCCCTAAATCCCTGAAGGATGTGAAGGTTTGGGCGAAGAAGTTGAAGCGAGGTAGCATGCGATGGGCAAGGGAATCGAATGTGTTAATCCTGCAATGGGTTGATAACAGGCCTGTTTCCTTGATCACATCAATTGATTCCGCAAATGAGAAAAAGAGTGTGGAGAGAAGGACGAAAACGAGAGGAGTGTTTGAAAAGGTAAATGTAAGCCAGCCCTATGCATTTCATAGATATAACCAATACATGAACGCAGTAGATAGGTCAGATCAAATGCTTGCATGCCATAATGTAAATCGTAAATGCTATCGATGGTGGAAGACATTATTCTACCACTTAATCGATATGGCAATTGTTAATAGTTTTCTTCTTTTTAAAAACCATCGTAGCAGTGACCCGGGTAATCCGGCATTGCATCGAAGGTCCACATATAGTATTGTTGATTATAGGGAAGAGCTGGTTAGGCAGCTTTGTGGGTTAGCAGAGTATGATAGACCTCCTGTGAATGAGCAAGTGCAGGCTGTTCCTCCCCATGACCAGTTTTGTACTGCCCATTTAGCTACAACGGCAGAGAATGGTGTAAGAAGGAATTGCGTTGTTTGTTACGCGGAAGGTCGAGGGCAGAAAAAAGTCACTACTTATTGTAGTGCCCCTCAGTGCAATAGGCACATGCATGTTGGTGGTGAGCATGATTGTTTTGTAGTATGGCATAGTAGGGATTACACTGGTAAGAGGTCATGAGTATTTCTGCATTTGGTATTTTGCGTGGACTGAAACATGTCCAACATCAAATTTGTCAAACGAATGAAATTTGTATCATATTTTCCCATTGTGATTACAGGTCATTCATTATTTGACATACATTCCATTTTTTAATAACATTTTCCTTACTATTTGTGTTACATTCATGTATATTCAATGTAATTATCATTAATTATTTGCTTTATTATTAAAAATTGAAAAAAGAAGTGTGTTGTGGATGAATTTGATTTCAAGCGGTGTCATTCAATCTCACAATTGTACCTTTGGGTGCCTGTACAAATTCTCTTTTTCACTCAATCAAGTGGGGAAATTTCCCTTGAACTGGGTAGAACATAATGGTATCAGCTACTTTTAAAATTATGTTGTTGCACACATTTTCTGTTTACCGGGGGGGTGACTTTCCCATTTCGGGTTGCCGAGTTGCTTAGATTCTTTATTTCGACAAATTTTAGAGAAAATTTCACTGGAAATATGGGTGGGAAGGAGTTAAATTCTTAAAGCCTACCCACTACCACTATTTGAAAAAATATATATATGGCTCTGGCATGATTAATATATTGGAGACATGTCAATGAAATTGAGTGCACGATTTGGCTATTTCTAAAGAGTGAACTTCAAAAATAAAAAAAAAAAATTTTCTGTTAGTCAATTATTTTGAAACTTGGTACACATATACCATATAACCTAAGAGAACTTTTAATAAATATAATGTATTGCAAAATTTGCATTGTTTGATCGTAATGAGGCGAAATACAAATATAATTGCCACATTTTTGCACAATTTATGCAAATTTATGCATTTGTTGGTCACGTGTCACATTTCAAAACCGAACCAACCGTCATCAATCGATAGCCGAAGTCATGAGCTTTCAAACGATGCATCATGCGCTTAAAAGGGTCAAGTAGTCGCAGAGAAAATCGCACCGGAACATACCCCACTTATTTATCACGTGAATAGGCCGGTCGGGAAAGAGATTTATAATTATATAAAATTATTAAATTAAAAATTAAACTGTTTCAATCTCGTGCTTTCTTCATGCTACAAACATGTTTTACATAATTTTTTATATCTATAGTATATCCCAGTGCCATATCCAGAAACAGTATCGTCACGCATTCGGAGACTGTCGGTGTAATGCCGTAATGTTTAGATTACATGAAGTATATGGTATATAAATGGTAGGAATTCTAATTTCTAAATTATTTTAAAATTAAAAACAAAATAATACAGTATTAAACAAATGGCGCACTACATCGCGGTTAGGTTCTGCAAACAAACAACAACAAAAGATCTATTGTATGGTATGTACGATGTAATCATTGTTTTACTGTTTATTGTATATACAGGTCTGGCAAATTTAATAGATGAGAGTTGCAAATCGCTCATAACCTCACGTATATTTTTCGTTTGATAGCCACTATAATTATAACTAGGGGCTAGAGTATAACCATGCACATGTCGACTACCAGCAACAAAATTGAGCTAGTTACCAGAATGAGTTAATTTCATTATTGGTGTAAATGGAGGCTCGGCTACAATTTATATGGACTATGGAAGCTGGGCTACAAATTAATCTATAATCTACATGGCTTCTCAAAGCCTAATTGCTGTTAATTAGAACAACAGTAGGAGACTAGGAAAGTCAATTACTACGAGTGTTGATTAAATATAATAAAATCATCCTGTAATTTGTGCACTGTTGCATGCAACATCGAGCACTGCATTGTATACAATGGTTGTACTTGGAAAAGGAAAATAATTTTGAAAAGTCACTTTTGACATTCTAATTACGTCATAATACCGCCATAATATGTGCATGATAACATAAGTGTCGTGATGCACCCGAAAAAGGCATACCACATGGAAACGTTTCGTCGGAATATACCAAATGGTTGAGCAGATTTTAACCGACTACTTTCCCAGATGCCGAAAAAACACAGAATGCCTTTATTGCACGATTTCCCATAGTATATCAATTGTTCATATTACTTGAAGGCAACATTGTTTGGAACCTCATTGTACATGTAGCAAAATATGTTCCAAATATATGTTCTTCAAAATTGAGATCTTGCCTATTCCAATCCTGGCAAACAGCAATATTTTAGAGATCAATGAGAAGGTTCACCGATGACATGAATTTGGTAAATAGCGGAATTAGTACTAATTCGCCCAATATTTGCGCGCGGAATGGCGCTTTACACTGGTATCTCTAGGATTAATTAAGAGTAATGTCTAAATACCTGGAAAATTGGATAGTGTCGTTTTAAAGGCAGAGGAATAATTTTGAGAATTTGAGAGTAAAGGAAGTCCAAGATTTGTTGGTAATGATGTGATCGACGTTGGAAAATCGACAAACGACGTTTTCAAAGAAGAGGACGCCAATTGTCCAACCCATGAGGACATCATTGTCATTATACTGGTGGAGGATGATACTGCTGGTTTCTTATGTACATCATCTGAAATATATATATTGCTTGCATAACATGTCTATCAGTAGTCTTATAAAACAACAAATAGCGCATGTCTTCCAATGAAAGATTTATAAAGACAAAGCAAATGAGCGAAATAGACTTATTTTAAAGTATTGACCGGACACAAGGTCCGCTAAACGATTTCTGAACATTTTATAATCCATTGACTATTCCAAATTTGACAATCCCAACCTAGTTTAATTAAACGCGATCTGTAAAATGTTTATACTGCTTTCGAGGAACTTTGCTGAAAGCAACTTGTGGCACTGTCCTTCGTGCTCAAACGTCCAGAGAACCTCATTACAATTCTTAAGTTGTTTCCTTTAAACATTTTCTTATTGATATCTGAGTAGCAAAAGTCAATGGATTTGTTGAATCGGATATCGCTAAGGGGAAGCATTCTATTGATAGCTTAGGGTTATTTTATACATGAGCACGCTTTTTTACTCTTACTACTCAAAGTTCGAGCGAATTTGATGACTGAAATGCATGGGATACGTAGTGTTTGAAAAAATTGTCATGCGGAAGTTTAATGTTTACCAAGTTTAAATTGTAATAACAGTTATGTTTAAATACCTGGATCGTCTGACAGTGTGGCTTTAATGGCAGAAGAATAAATTTGAGAACTTGAAATCAAGGAAGGTGCAAGATTGGTGTACGAAGGCGTAATGGACGTTGGAATAGAAAGGAACGAATTCATCAAAGGAGAGGAAACAGGATTTCCAACTAGTGATGGCAGCATCATTGTCATGTTACTGGTTAGAACTGATGATGTCTTCTGTACATCGCCTATAAAAATATACATTCTTACCATTAATGTCTATCGGTTTTAATAGCACATAAATTAGTCTTTTATTGTATTCGCTCACGATAAGTTATGAAGACGAAGCAAGCGAGACAAAGAAATGTACTATATAGCATTTACGGGAAATTTGGCAAGCACAAGTACCCGTAATATTTTCTGAACCTTTTTACCATTTCAGTTCTTCAAATTGCCATTCTCAACCAAGCAGGCCTGTCCTTAATTTTGCTTCTTGTTCCGAGAAACTTTGGGAAAAGCAATTCATAGCATTCTCCTTCTCCGTGGCCAATCAGTTCCTGAGTTATTTCCTAATATTCTTAAGTTCTTTACTTAAAACATTTCCCTATTCAAATTTGACTAGGAAAATTAGTGGATGTGTTGAATTGGTTATTTCGAAGCGGACGCATTCTATTGGTAGCTAAGGGTTGTTTGAAACAGGACTGCGAACAACAAGTAAAGTGAGAATTTGGGATCAAAGAAAAGGCAGAATTGGGGGACGATGGGGCGATAGACGTTGGGAAAGAAAGAATCAACGTTCTCGAGGTAGAAGAAACTCATTTTCAATCAGTGATGACATCATCATTGTCAGCTTACCGGTTGTAACTGATGGTGTCTTCTGCACATCTAAAATATAAATACATTGATTCCATAAGATTGTCTATCGGTAGTGACATAAGACAAAAATTATCGCATGTCTTTCATTGTATTCGTTTATACTATGATTTAGGAACCGGTGGGTGATAAATACAAAATATTGAACTTTTTAGAGGCGCCCCCGATCGCAACACCTATTTTTTCAAGATGCCCTACCTTCGTCTAGAATATTTAGGACTCCCCACATTCCAACATTTAATTTGTTACATGTTTTGGAGTAAAATAGGTAATGGGACAATTTTCATATAAAATATAACGCAACGATAAGCTTTTATTAATTTAATTAAAGCAATTATAAAGCAATCAGCACCACAATATTTAAAACAAACTTACGTTCGTCAATCTCGGCGCCTTTGCTTCGTCCTTTAGCAATTATTTCGCTTTTATTCTCAAAAAGCTTTCGAAATTTGGAGACTCTTGCAGAAATGAAATATATTTGCAAGAAATCATCAAATCAAGAAATGTTTGCTATTTCGCTGTCGTCATATGCAGTCGTTATGATGCAAATTTTAAATTGGGGAAATCAGTGTTCCCTATTCATCACAGTTCGCTATATTGTGCGATCTGTGAGGATGACCACCCACCCAACCAAGCATGGGAACCCACGCGCTCGGTCATTGATGAACTTTTGACTTCGCTAATGTTTTGTTTTCCGCAGGGATAAATAGGCCGGCGGAATGAGAACCACCGTCCCGTAATGGCGCTCCTCGCTGTCGGCTCGGGGATTAATAAAGAGAAACTATTTTTTTGATAACCTACTTTCTCTATCATAAAACAGCAAAAAATAACGAAAAGGAAAATAATTTTGAAAATTCACTTTTGACATTCTAATTACGTCATAATACCGCCATAATATGTGCATGATAACATAAGTGTCGTGATGCACCTGAAAAAGACATACCACATGGAAACGTTTCGTCGGAATATACCAAATGGTTGAGCAGATTTTAACCGACTACTTTCCCAGATGCCGAAAAAACACAGAATGCCTTTATTGCACGATTTCCCATAGTATATCAATTGTTCATATTACTTGAAGGCAACATTGTTTGGAACCTCATTGTACATGTAGCAAAATATGTTCCAAATATATGTTCTTCAAAATTGAGATCTTGCCTATTCCAATCCTGGCAAACAGCAATATTTTAGAGATCAATGAGAAGGTTCACCGATGACATGAATTTGGTAAATAGCGGAATTAGTACTAATTCGCCCAATATTTGCGCGCGGAATGGCGCTTTACACTGGTATCTCTAGGATTAATTAAGAGTAATGTCTAAATACCTGGAAAATTGGATAGTGTAGTTTTAAAGGCAGAGGAATAATTTTGAGAATTTGAGAGTAAAGGAAGTCCAAGATTTGTTGGTAATGATGTGATCGACGTTGGAAAATCGACAAAAGACGTTTTCAAAGAAGAGGACGCCAATTGTCCAACCCATGAGGACATCATTGTCATTATACTGGTGGAGGATGATACTGCTGGTTTCTTATGTACATCATCTGAAATATATATATTGCTTGCATAACATGTCTATCAGTAGTCTTATAAAACAACAAATAGCGCATGTCATTCAATGAAATCGCTTTCTAAGATTTATAAAGACAAAGCGAATGAGCGAAATAAACTTATTTTATAGTATTTATCGGACGTTTTCCAAACACAAGGTCCACTAAACGATATCTGAACATTTTCTAATGCATTGACTATTCCAAATTGACAATCCCAACCCTAGTTTAAACGCAGGCCTACTCTAGGGCGGTAAATCGCTTTGAATCGCTGCGATATAATGCGATTTTGGGCGATTTTAGGCGATTTATGGAAAAAATGGGACTTTCAAGCACTGCGTTTTAATGCGATTTTAGGCGATTTAAGAATTTTTTTTTTTAATTTTTGGGATTGCAATTTAGGTGTTTTCAAAGGAATTGAATTTATATTTTGCTCCGGTTTCCTCCCACAAGGCAAAATTGGCAGGGTGGGGTAGGATATAAACAAAGTTAGGAAAGTGATGTCATATCCTCATTGTTGTAAAATAAATAGTCTAGGCTAACATAAGTAATCATAGTACTTGATGTAATCGGTCACTGAAAAGCCCCAATGTGGGAAGTGAGCTAAAAAATAATGTAATGTTTCCACACACATATGCATTGTATGAAGCAAAATACAATTATTAGAACATGTACGTACATTTTATATAAAGCTAGGTTAACTAATTATTGTATTTAACCTGATTCACATATTCAAGCTCAATATTCATGAACTTTTCACCCATTCTCTATTTAGAAGCCATTGGGGTTCATCTTGTGGGGTCATGTGGTCATTCATGGCTACATTATATACCACAATTATTGTAAACAGTTAATATACTCTACTTAAGGGGCATGCACTACACATGTCTTAAACTTTAATATTATTAATTTATGTCGAGTTAAAATTGCAAAATATAATAAATATTTGATTTCCAAAATAAGCTATAATCCTGTAAATTACCTTGTCACCCTTGTAAGTAAAATTGTCTTGTTTTGTATCATGTCAAAACGTCTTTATTTAGCTTGCATTTTATTTAAACTGTTTCAATCTCGTGCTTTCTTCATGCTACAAACATATTTATAAAGCATTCGGAAACTGCTACTGTCGGCGTAATGCCGTAATGTTTAAATTACATGAAGTATATCGTATATAAATGGTAGGAATTCTAAATTACTAGTTAAAATTGAAAAATAATAATACAGTGTTATAAAACAAATGGCGCACTACATCGTGGTTTTAGGTTCTGCAGACAAACAACAACAAAAGATATATTGTATGGTATGTAAGATGTAATCATTGTTTTACTGTTTATTGTATATACAGGTCTGGAAAATCTAATAGACGAGAGTTGCAAATCGCTCATAACCTCACGTATATTTTTCGTTTGATAGCCACTATAATGGGCCATTCCATTTAATATACACACCCCCCTGTGGACGAAAATTTCTGAGGGGGGTTGAAAAAGCAGTTTCTGAGGGGTTGTGTGCATCGGCATCCTTTGATCTTTGCGTTTTTTCCGAGGGGTAAGGCAAAAATTTCTTAATTTCTAGAGGGGTGTTTGTGTCGGCACTTTGATCTTTTTTTCTTAGGGGTTCAAATTTTATTGACTTCGTCCACAGGGGGGTGTGTACATTAAATGGAATGGCCCAATTATAACTAGGAGCTAGAGTATAACCATACACATGTCGATTGAAGTACAACCATTGTATACAATGCAGTGCTCGATCTTACATGCAACAGTGCACACATTACAGGATGACTTTATTATATAAATCAACACTCGTACTCATTGACTTTCGTAGTCTCCTACTGTTGTTCTAATTAACAGCAATTAGGCTTTAAGAAGCCATGTAGATTATAGATTAATTTGTAGCCCAGCCTCCATAGTCCATATAAATTGTAGCCCAGCCTCCATTTACACCAATAATGAAATTAGCTCATTCTGGTAACTGGCTCAATTTTGTTGCTGGTAGTGTATGGGATCTACGGGTCTTTTAGATCCCAGAATTACCTAATTATTGTAACGTCTGCATAAAGCAGAAAAAGGCTCTGTTTTTGTCAATGACCGGTGCCTATTGGGTGACTAAATATTGTCAGCCTAATCGACTTATTTGATTGCTAATTCATGTTGCATTAGTTTTGATTGCAAAGCACCTGGATTACATGATTTGCCCGTAAAATAGCAGCAATTGACAAGCTTGAGTACATGGACTGAATGTATCAAGCAGAATGCATGTTGGCGATTTTAAGCGATCTTAGGCGATTTTAGGCGATTTAAGAGATATTCGACAATTTTAACCCGCGATTTAATGCGATTTTAGGCGATTTAGGGCGATTTTAGGCGATTTACCGCCCCAGAGTAGGCCTGCTAGTAATACTACAGGGTGTCTAAAAAAAAACGCTACGGAAATTCAACAGGCTGTTGTGCATCACAAACTTGACAAAACAATTCAATTTTTACACAGGACGAAAGAGCTGTTATTTAGCTTTTCTATGATTTATTTCTTAAACCGTAACGATGAGAAATGGCCACATACTCGTCCAATGAAAATTTTCGGTCGAAATCACATTCTTCCACCGTTGGGAATTGAAAAGACATTACCTAATTATGCAAAGTTAATCAATCCAAAAGCAACGCGAGTCTGCTGCAAGGTACTTGTTTCGTAAAACGTTTTGATTACGAATGTTCTCTGTTCAGGGCTTAATTGAACCATGTTTAATGCAATAATGGACGTTCTTATGGTCTCACTAAGACGAAGATTGATGAGTTGAGCTTATTTTAGATAATTTAACATTCAATTTTAATTCCCTCTTGGGAATTGTTTATGTTTCGTTTTCCATATGCAATTCCCAACGGTGGAAGAATGTGATTTCGACCGGCAATTTTTATTTGACGAGTATGTGGCCATTTCTCATCGTTACGGTTTAAAAAAATATATCATAGAAAAGCTAAATAACAGCTCTTTCGTCCTATGTAAAAATTGAATTGTATTGTTAAGTTTGTGATGCACAACAGCCTGTTGAATTTCCGTAGCGTTTTTTTTTGAGACACCCTGTATAAAATTAATAATATTAAAGAAAAGAAATGAATAATAAAATCCCATGGGAGATAGTTGTCGTCCACGGTCTGTTTACAACCGGTAAACCAGAGTTTACGTCTTGTGTATAACGTTTGCATTTTAGTCACGTAAGAAGTGGATACTCAGCAAATTGGTTTAGTACCAATGTGGAACTCTATAGTCAATAAAAAGCCTCTGTTTTGATGTCTTCAAGCTGAATGAAGCAGGTATAAAGGTATATCATTCCAGCGAAAACAAATTGTTTCGAGCTCTATGCACACATAAGGACAACGTAAATGAATATCAGAAACCTGGTGTGTACCGCATTCCTTGTGAATGTGGTCTGGTTTACATTGGTGAAACTGGTCGAAATCTCTCAGTACGTCTTAAGGAACACAAGACGAATTGCGAGAAAGCCGAGCAAGATAAATCTGCCGTGGCTAAACATACTTGGACTTACGACCATCGTATAAAATGGGACGAAGCAACCATTTTGGCGATTGATAGTCATAAGTTCTCTCGCAAAATGAGAGAGTCAATTGAAATCGAGAAGCACAATACTATAGATCAGGAGGGAAAGCCACTAGATAGTACGTGGCGTGCTTTCTTTAATGTGCAAAATTAATTTCTCTTGTCTTGGTGCGCGCGCGTTAATTGGAATCACTTCATTACGATTGAAATGACGTGGTTGATGTGCCGTTTAATTAAATTTCAAATGACGCGAGCCAACAGATATAAAATTTGCATTATAACGACTGCATGACGACAGCGAAATAGCAAACATTTGTTGATTTAATGATTTCTTGCAAATACATTTCATTTTTGCAAGATTTTGTAAATTTCAAAAGTTTTTTGAGAGAAAAGACGAAAGAATTGTTATATGCAAAGGCGCCGACGTTAACGAAGGTAAGTTTGAAATATTCATGAATCGTGTATTGTTTGCTTTAAAAGCTGATCGTTATTCGTTAATGCGTATATTTTAAATGAAGAAAGAGAGCATATTAATTTCAGTGCGGTATCTTTATTGATTACTTTTTTTTGTTGTATTAAAATTTTTAAATAAAAAAGAAAGCAAAGTTATGTGCATGCGAGAATTTGAATTAATTTTATTTCAAACTCAACGTTAAGTTTATCGAAAAGCCAGGCAGTTTAGTTTTATAAAGAACATTTTAAAACGTTTTGCGAAGCGTTTGTGGTTGAATTTTACATTAAATTGAAACTTATATTACGTATAATAACATACCTAGCATATATATGTTTGGGAAATTGATAATTTTGTAATTAAAACTTAAAAGTGATATTTTTAGGGGGATTTTTCAATTGTGAAAATATTCTTAATGAAATTGTCGTGTCACTATGATAACTACTTTAAATACTTCATGTTCGGAAAATACAATGGTTTTGTCAGCAAGGTGAGGGTTTCTGCATGCATGTATTTTCTAGTATGTGCTTTAATTTCTTCAAATTGTTCTTCGATAATTTGTTTGCAAGTGGATTTTTGGCAGCCATTTTGTTTTGAAAGCAATACTAGTTACTGTTCTGAGCAGTAAAGCCAACCAGAACGCTTGAAACCCATTTTTCAATACTGAATTTATACTAATAACAGTTATTCTGCGAACTCGAGTCGTATATGAGCTGATAGCCGACGAGGTGCGTAGCACCGAGTTGGTTTTCAGTCGTATACGACGAGAGTGAGTAGAATATCTGTATGGAAATATTTTGACACAGTTAGTTTAGCAATCAACACAACTTGCCCTAAACCTGATAAACCACTGCTGCTATTTGTTAAATAAAGCTTCAAACATTGCTAAAAATTTTATATATAAAGGCTTTCAGAGAAAATAAGTGCCTGTCGGTTTCGTATCTATAAATCGATGTTGGTTTTAGTATATTCTATATTTATATTTTTATTTTCGCTCTTCTGGCATTTTTTTAAATACATTTTTAAACTAGTTTAGGTATTAAATATTTATTTGCTAACCTGTAAACAATTGCTGGAAGAAGTTAATTCATTCCGTTTTATTGCTTTTAATGCTATAAAAAGCGAATAACCTGCTGTTTTCGCGTTCAGAAAACTTGGGTAATTTTTGAGCCGCCATCTTGTTTTTTTACTGCCATGAGCTAATATCTTGCTAGTGAGAGCCAATCAAATTGCAGAATAGCTCATATCTGGTAGTTGTCAATATTATAATTTGTATTATTATTATTATTAACAGACTTGCATAATCTCTTTCCTAGATTCTCTTTACAACTTGACAGCACGTGGTCTGTTTCAATCATTTGTTCTTGAAAAACCCCGTCTCAGTGGAGATAATGTGACATTCTCTTGTCAGTCACTATTTCATAGTTTAGCTTACAAGATGGTCACGTGCAAATCATCTGGGATGTACTCCGCACCTCCGCCATATTGCGAAAAGGAAGAGACGAATTCCAGTAAGTTAACATGTTTTTGTTTGGTATCTCAAACAGCAGCGAACACTATAAAGAAAGCGCCCCCCTTTCCCTCCTTCCCCAGTAAACTAGACTTTTGTTGAAAATAAGCCGGCGGCCGCCGTAGCTCCAGCGCGTGCCACGAGGTTTACTGCCGGTTACTTTGTTTTGTTTAGTAGCTGAAATATCAATTCTAGTCTCCTTCCTGCACTCCAAGATTTTAAACAAAGTTATTCTTTATCATGCAACCTCGTCTATTTTATAGCCTGGTTGTATTTGAAATTGAAAACGGCATAGTATTTTGTAGAACTGATTTAGTTATTGTCTTCTTAAAACTTGAAGTCATCTTAATTGTTGAAGAATGAAAGTAGTGATTCGTTATAATTTGGTTATTGTGGTGCTATCTGATCAATGCTTAAATGATCAATACAGCCAAAGTCCTGGTGTAAAAGTGACATCATATCCGGAAACTTTGACAATGAAAATTTTAATCAAGATGAGGTCTTTTAATTTACTATTAATATCTCATTTCTTCTCAGAATCACCCAAATATTTCACACGCCAACAATCATATTTGAGGTTTGTGGCACTTTCAAGTACAGGTTAAAGTATTTGAAATGATTATAGCGCACCATTCTCTATTTTTAAAACTCTAGGTGGTTCTGATTTGGTTCTTATATTGTCCTTATCGTTGTCGGTTCCTTTTCTGGGTGTGGTGCTGCTGTTGGTTATTCTCTATTGCGTTACACGACGTGTGTCATCCCAGAACTTCGTGTCAAATTATTTTGTAAATTCACAACAACGCTCAATTGAAATACAAGAGAACAGTCCTCTGGGCAGTGGTACAAAACATTCCACTGCCGTGCAATCTACAAAGTCGGACGCGAGTGGAGTATAAAGACTATAAAATTTCGAGCATCGAAATTTCGAATGAAATCTATATATTTAGAGCAAGAACATCAGTCATTCGGCCTATGAGAAAAATGAAGCCAAGATGACGGAAATTAACGTCCAATAGCTATGAAAGTCGTAGGTGCAGTTTTAATTAATACCATTACCATTTCCCCAGTTAATTAATTAATACCATTACCATTTCCCCCGTATCGCTAAAGACGTTATCAATTCATAAAACTGTAGTGTTATGCATGAGTCAATTCCTGGAGTAACCATCCCCCCCCCCGGGACACCCCCGGGAATTTGCCCGATAGACAGTTCACGGGGGTCGGGAATTTGCCTTTCATGTATGTGCACGGGGACCGGGTATTGGAGGGCCCCGGGGATTTGACAAATGGTTGCCCAGAATCCCACCCACAAAGTGTAAGGCAGCAAAACCTAGTTTCAGGCACGCATGTGGGCGCGCTGATCGTATTTTGCGCCCTCGTTGTCAAGGTGACGTAAAATTTATTGTAAGAATAAGCGAAAATTATACCCTGTGCCATGCAAATTTAAATACAACAATTAAAGGTTTATGTTTTATAATATTCCATAGCAGTTTAATACTATAATGTTATTAAATGACTATGATTATATGCCATTAACGTTTACAGTCGATTTCACGAAACTTTGACCACAAATTTTCCGAACTTCGTTGCGAAGTTCACAAGATTGTTGCGAAGTTCAAAAGTTCATAATGAGATTCACAAACCGGTTCGTAAGCTACGCATTTGATTGGCTTCTTTTACTTCACAGACCAATCAGGGACTTTGTTTACAAATTGGCTTGTGAACTTCGCAACGAAGTTCGGAACATTTGTGATCAAAGTTTCGTGAAATCGACTGTAAAATCGTCTCCAGGGTGGGGCATTTTCCACTCTCAGCTTGCCCAAGGGCCGTGCATTAGTCTTCAAGTTGTGTCCCGGCACCCGGGCATTTACACTATCATAACCAATCAAATCAAATGCCCGGGTGTGTTCCGGGGGGGGGATGGTTACTCCTGGAATTGACTCATGCATTATTGTTTATATCGATATAAAAATCCAAAATTGCGGTACACTCCAAAAGCCAGCTCAGTTTTTGCCAGCTTTGTGTTAACCGCGTAGTCAAAAACATGCCAAGAGAAAGGAATTGAAATCAAAATTACTGCACACGCGTTTATTTAATGACACTTAATTATGCATTTATTTAATGACACTTAATACTGTATTAGCAGTTCGATTTCAATTCCCAGAGGCCTAAAATCTTTTATGCTTAAGAATTGCAAAGTGGATTTCTTAGGAAATTCCGAGGTTGCGTTTTTTTTATACATCCTGTACAGAGTTTGGGTAATGGTCGAGGGTCGAGGATCATAGGTCGAGGGTCGAGGGTTATAGGTCGAGGGTCGAGGGTCGAGGGTCATAGGTCGAGGGTCGAGGGTCATAGGTCGAGGTTCGAAAGTCGAGGTCGAGGGTTAAAAGTCGAGGTCGAGGGTCAGAAGTCGAGGGTCGAAATTCAAGGGTCGAAAATGGGAAATATTAGTTTTTTTATTAAACATTTCCAGAATACTGCATTTTTGGCATTTGTTGTCAAAATTTTAAAGGTTCTCGTGTCGATAACTAACTTTATTACTGTTAGTACAGAACATGCCTTAGGGCATAATTAGGTTCCTTTTTGTTTTTCGAGAAAGTGTAAAATTACTAAAACTATTCGAGAACGTACGGGGTGCCGGTGGGGTGATTCGAAAATATATTGTATTTATTGTACTATCAGAACGAATCGGGTCCCAGCGCAGCAAAAATCTCTCACAATGGTCGTGAGAATAAGGCGGTGAGATAATTCTGAACCGAACTAAAATCACCCTGTTATAAAGATTCGTGCTTCGTGCATGTTATTTTTGACAGAATAACGTACTAAAGAAACTTTCCATTTTATTACACTACAACGTTCTCGCAACTATATTATGAAAATGAAACTGTCAATCGAACATGTGCACTTCCGGTGCAGACATGTACATGTACGATGTTATAAAATATATAAATAAGTATCAACTGTTTCTCGCACACCCCAAACCTCCAAAACCATACGCAGTTTGAAGAGTATCGTTAAGTTGAAGTTCTGAGAATTTCAGAACTCTTTCGTCTCCAAGTCCAAGAGATAACATATTACCTATAGGCTATAATCAGTTTCTCATGAGAGTGAAACGCCATTTTTGTATAATTGTCCGTGTTTGTTTGTCTTGTATATTTTAAACTCCAATGTAAAATAAAAGATGTATGCTTTCAAACATCAAACCTCGCATCAGTTCACAAACGAAACTTTCGGTTTTACAGTACATATAGCCTGCATACGGCATAGCCATAGGCGAAATTTTTCAGTTTTGACAGCAAAACTAATTGTTTTGCCGCGTTTAATGGTTGTAAAACTTTTAATGGATAAAAATTTAGTATTTTAGACTTTCGACCCTCGACTTTTGACCCTCGACCTCGACTTTTGACCCTCGACCTCGACTTTTGACACTCGACCTCGACTTCCGAACCTCGACCCTCGACCTATGACCCTCGACCCTCGACACTCGACCATTACCCAAACTCTCCTGTACAGGGTGTCCCAAAAAAACGCAAGACCATTGAAATAACGTATTGTTAAAATTTGAATGCCCTGGCGTTAAGCTGAACGCAAAGATGCGTAAAATATTGTCAAGGGTGCATATATTAAATATTGACTTATTAAGAAATTAAAATATCTTTGTAAAGCGCACGAATTTCTGCTCTTGGGAATTTAGAACAGCTTCTTAAACGGTTTCTTTGTCAAACGTCAAGCTTTGACGCACGTGTGGGTTCAGCAGAGTGCTGAGGTATTCAAATTCTAACAATATATTTATTTCAATAGTTTTCGTTTTTTTTGGGACACCCTGCATGTACAGTACACCCTGTACTGTACAGTAGTACGCCGTAGCTGTTCAATTGTTTAAAAGAATGATAATTACTTTTAAGAGACAAACAAAGTTTTATAGTGTATTTTTTCAATTGGCTCGAATACAAAAAAGTATTTTCTGTCTCTGCCCTTGTCGTTTTCGGTTGCCAAACCCACCAACAAGTCTTTCCATAACAGACACATGCTTCGATGGGTAAAAAAACTAAAAATTCATAAATGAAATATTGCAGACAAATCAGAGCTTTAGTCTATAGCTAGCTTTAGCTAGTCTTCGCAATCATTAGCGAACGTATAAATATGTTCCCAAAGGGAATTTAAACCAATGCATGATCAATGCTTTTAGCAGTAACAAATCATAACGAACCTTTCGTATGGCCTAACCAATCGGAGCTCGTTAAAATCTGACAATAAGAATCAAGGGCGTGATTCATTTGCGTGGCAAATTTGAAATTCAATCTGTTCATTCCGTTTTCCCAAGAACACGAAGGAAAGAAAAGCGAAATTTGAACTCCTAATACGAAATGGTTGTGTTGTTCTAATTGCTAAAGTACATGTAAGTGAAAGCCATACATATTAGTTGTATAGTGCTCTTTAATTCGCACTTATTATTACTTTAATCAATAATCAGTATTAAAAGCTTGCCTTGAACTCATACAATAACTTGGCCGGCTATAAGAATTTCTGTTGGCTTTATATGCTTCAATTCCTTGATATTATTGCCTACATTTCCTACAATACTGTTTTAAAGCACCTGCAGTTTAATTTGTAATCTCATAGTTACCTTATCTTCAACTGTTTTAGCTCATAAAATTTGACGAGAAAGTTGACCCTTAGGCTTAGGCAGCGTTTACACTGTACCGTTTTCGTAGCGTTCTCGTATTGTTCTTAATCCTCAAGGGAACGCAAGACAATAGTCTAGTTTTCTCGAACAATACGAGAACGCTACGAAAACGGTACAGTGTAAACGCTGCCTTAGTTGCAGAGCTGTCGAAGACACGCGCCGGTAAGCATATTGTCTTTATAAATATTGTTTGTTGTCTGTCGCTCGGATTTTAAGCTTCTCCTTCCCATTCAACGATAACACTTTGTCTTTGCAGAATTGTTGAAGTTCACAGGGCATTTTGAGTTAGTTTTAGTGATTTAGTCGAGTTTCCAACAGAATTTTAAAGATTTACTGATTAACGAGCATTTTGTCTTCTTAGTTTACTGTTGAATTTGAAATGAAAAGTTGTTACGAATTATATCAAGGCTTTTTAAATGCTTTGAGTTTATTAAACTTGAGTTGTACAGTAATACTGAGACTACATTTGTACTGTTCCTATAACATCTCATTTAATTGCATATTGGATGCAACAAACGCTCGCGAGTTGTCAAATCGATTGAATTTTATACACATTAACAAAGGAGCTGGGCGAATAGGAACAAAGCCTAATACGGACAAATATCAGTCGATTCAGACACTCTATAGTCACTAATCGAAGTTTCGTAGACGTTTTGGATATCGTTGTGCAGTTTTGTCAGCTTCCTGACAATGACACTACAGTTTCTTTCCTATATTTTACAGATTATTCAAAATGCTTCGGTTACAATTAAGATGACCATTCATATGTTACATCTGACGGCGAGATATTCAGAACCGAACAAACCAAAAAAGCTGATCAATGAAGCAGTTAGGTTCAGAAGATGGAAATGAACATCTGGTTAGGAAAGAAAAATTGCAGTAATTGTATGACAGCATTGACGTGGAAACCATAAGGTGCTCAGAACAACAGAAGAAGGGGGATCAATGAACGAGTATAAGATCAGAGCATGGAAGTGAGCATACGTTTAGAATGGAAAATGACAGTAATTGTGTGACACCGTTGACGTGAAAACGAGAAGGGCGAAGGAACGTACAGCATGGAAGAAGTACACGGAAAAAACTGTAGAGAAAGAAAAGGGTTGGAGATCTTGAAACAAAGCCAAACGTGTCGCCAGATCAAATAGAAGGAGCTGTAGCAATGTATTCCAACGTAATGGACAACGCAGCCGAAGAAGATAGGTAAGATGTCCTAATTAAGTCCAGTTTCTTAGTAATAATACTTGCATGGCGTATAAAGAAGGTCATCCAATTTGTCGTGCTTTTTTGGTGCGTTAAAATATTGAATTCACAGATATAATTTTTTTCCATGCAATTTACCAAATACAAGCCGATTCAAAACCACGTACCAGTCGAGGCTAGACTGCGGTCTAGCAATTTTTTGGTGGCACGAGCAAAATGAAAAAACCCTGAAATGATAAGGCCGGTTAGCGTTGGGGTTGGAGATAGAGTTATTTCATGCCGAAACATGTACTTATAACTAGTCAGCTGTATTTATCGATGTCCACTGGTGTTCTCCAAAAAACAATTTTACTGGGTAAATATCTCATATAGGTGATGTGCAACCACTCCCATGGGATTCAAAGGACAAACGTTTTCGCCATGTTCGATGCTGACCTAATGGCGATGGTGACGTAACTTTCACATCACCTATTGCTAAAAAATGCCCAATAGGTGATGTGCAACCACTCCCATGGGAAAACCTGACAAAAGTTTTCGGCATGTTGGATGATATTTGCATTGCAAACAAGCAAAACCCTTTGTCAGTGTCATCTAACATGGCGACGGTGACGTAACTTGCACACCACCTATTGTTGTCCTCTTGTGAGAGTTCCCAATTTTGATACACACCTCTTTCTCTTATTTTACAGATGGCTAGTGGATGGTTTGCAGCGTTCAAAAGAGCGTTTTCTTGAGGACTTTCACAAATGAAACCAAACATGGCATTTTCTTTATAAAATTTTTTTTCAATTTCATGATTTCCTTTTTAGCCAAAAGAACTAAACAAACTAATCGTTTTCATAATTCGAACGGTTTCAACTCAAAATTGAATTTTCAACAAAATTTTTATGGTTTCATCATTTCGGCATTTGGCACAAACGCTGAGTAGAATCATATCAAATGAGTGGCTGACCATTTGTCAATGCTTGGTGAAACGTCAACTCGACTTTTCCCGACCTGCTGACGAGTATTTCCGATCAATTACCATGAACAACTAGCACAAGTGTAAGGCTTGGCCAACCTTGCAGCTGTGCTTTTTGTCCCCGGCATGGGACCGGGAATGTTCGCCTGCGAGCGTGGAAAAATTGAGGCGGAATATCACCAAACTTTGATTTGTGACCAGTCTTTCGTCTGTGTGGCTTTATCCAGCGTTTTGGTCTTTGTCATTTGATGAAATTTTGCGATTTCAGTACAAATGTGTTTAAAAACTATACATTTTTGAAGCTTAATTTTTTAAAGATTTTTGAGGATTTTCAAATCCTTCCGTTGCTCATAAAATGTAAAAATATTAAACCAAATTCCTTATTTGTGGTGTTCGATGGAATCCCTAATCCAATATGGATATAAATGGATTAGTGTGGATTAACATGGACAGCAATTGACATCTATGGATATAGAGCTGCGAAAAGGTTAAAGAAAAGACCACTTTCAGGTGCAGTTTATTAGTTGTTAGCCTGTGCACAGGCATTATGTAATTCGTACCCGAGACTGCAATTGTGTGTGGTCATTGTGTCAGTCTCTGGGTACAATCATTCGGACAAATACTTCGGAAAAAACCTGGCGGCCTGATTCAGTATATTTACACACTCGATCGATTTCCTGTAATTCAGAGTTTGCATGATTAAAAGTGGACTTTAAAATATACTTATTAATTTTTTGCAAAAATTGTGGTTTAAAATTCCTTTACTCTCTGAATTTGAAAAACGATTAAATTGTGGTTTAAAATTCCTTTAGTCTCTGAATTTGAAAAACGATCTTAAAAACAGGGGAACAGTTGAGCTTACAATATAGTTGCATGGTGAATGCATGCTAAATCCGGTCCGGTTATTTGTGCCAACGTTTCTCCCTTTGTGTAAATGTACTGCCTTGGTGCACAAGCATTGCAAGCGCGGCGCTCGGCGACGCAATAGTTTAGATAGGATTATTAGACAGGACGTACTGCAAGTAAAATTTTGCCAGACTTTAATCAAACGAAATACCAGTAAGTGTATATCATGCACCTTATATAAAAAATAGGGGTTGATTTAATTTCATAGAATGCAGAATTATTTCTTACGGAATGCAGTCAGAAAATCCAATAATAAAAAAACAACAAATTTTATCAGTTATGAACAACAATCTTACATGCAGTCAATATTTTATAGAAGCTGGCATAGTTTTTCTTGGGGTTAGGGGGTACAAATGGTACCCATAGCTTAGAGGGTGCAAGTAGTACCCGTAAGAAGACATGATGAAAATCGTGGTGGACGTTTCATCTCAAGAAGTTATGTGAAGACTACAATGACGGTTGAACTGTGCGGTTTTCAAACATTTTCTCTCCCGTAGTAAGGTAAAATACCTGGTAGCCGGTCTTACTTCATGAAAAATATTCCGCTACCAGTGACTAGGTTCCCTCTCTTGTGGCGACTATGGTGGTTTAAAGTATTAAATAGAACACAAGGTATTACCAATCTTTACCCCTGTATGTGGTGGCTCATAGGTGCGACACGCACTAGGTTAAGTTAGGATAAGGGCATGGCCGAGACACTACATTCAGGGGTATTCATTTTCAGGGCGGTTGCGCTGCTGCTGCCGCGAGTTTAATTTCGTGTCCTGTAGGCACTAGATATGCATATGAGAGAAAATAAATGACATTGATTGAAGCCTGAACTTAAAACCACTTTGGATTGTTCTTAGGCTTAGGTTTCGGTGTTTTTAGGTCGGACTTTAGTTAATGTTATAATTTTCCCTTTTGTGCATAATTAGCGTCTACAGGATATGAAATTATTACTCTGCCGCGTTGCGCACGAAGTAGTTAGAAAGTCTAGACAGTTTAAAAATTGCGAAGCTGCGCAATACACTCATCGTACACGAAATGTAGAGTATTTTTTCACAGGAAAACATAATCTGTTTTCCTGTAAAAATACTTTGTTTAAATGAAAAGGCTTACTAACATTGCGAAACAAAATGGCGAACTGAAGCAAATGTTGAAACGCAAAAAGAAAAAGAAATCGAAATCAAACCAGTTTAATAACTGAGTTATATAGAAAATAGATTCTCTATTTTCTGATAAGAGCCTTTAGATTCAAGTTAAGACATTTACAGTTATCAATTTGCAAGCGCATTAACTGTGAATGTATAAGAAATGATGTTAAGTTTCTTCTAAAAGGAGACAGAACCATTTCTTTTAAACTATTTGCTGCTCTAACGCGCGCGCGCTCTGCCATAAGTTTCTGATCAAAAGACTGCCAGGTACAAATGGGGTGTTTTCACGTGTTGCTTCGTTGACGGGCAGAGTCCTGACAATAAAAATTGTTTTATTCATTTTGATGTTTTGTCGTGTCCAACATGGTAGCCATGAAAACACTCCACAAATCAGCGACAGATTAAGCCCATGAATGGTCGTCGCAGCAACGCAGGGTGTTTGCCATGTTGCATCACGCTGGCGTTGTCGTCAATTGGTCATACATCAGCTTGGTCGTACTGATTTAACATAATCTATTATAAGCTGCGGCGCTATAGGTTTCGGTACAATCCGTACCCATACGTGATGTCAGTGTGCCTACTACTCATTTCAATGGGTTTGTTTTGTGGAAAAATACCACGCATATTTATTTGGCAAAGTTTTTAATCGGCAAGTCTGTATCTTTATCGGTGCAAATAGTATTATGAATTGTATGCTATTTGCACTGCATATCCGGCTTAAAGCTCTTAATGCTTTCCCAAATAAGGGTGGTGTTTTTCCACAAAACAAAACCGTATCCACTGCCACGCAAGCACGCAAAGAACTGTCGTTCAATCAAGCTGTGCAGATAATTGGGCGCTTGCATTGTTGCGCAAAATTCGGACAACAAACCGCCCTTTTCGTGCGACATTATTTAGCGACAAGTTGCATGAAAAGCACTCGAGAGCAAGACGCAAAAATGCACACATCAAAAAAACATCCAAACGTCCTAATGTCTTCTGTGCTGCGGAATACCTTAGGGCGTTGGATCCACTAATCATTTTTGTGAATTTTTTTTTAAATATTCTTTCTGCAAAACAAAAACTAAAAAGTAAAG